TCCGTTCCAATTTATGTGAACATGTTTGATTGGGCATGGAGTTTAAAAAACTATGAAGACTTTTGGAATTTGTGGTCCTAAACAAATCAAAAAGGGGCCCAGAGTATTTGTGTGACTATAAAAGTTTCTCATTAAGGGTATAATTGTAAGTTTAAGCTAAATTGTTACCAAATTTAGAAAGGGGTCATTCTTTTTGGACCGGACCAAAAAGGAAATAAGTTCACATAAACTAGAACAGAGGGAGAAGCTACTTCTTCCAATCTTTTTCTCCCTTTTCAATTTTTTTTCAAGGAAATAATTATGTAGTCTACAAAATCTAGCTACTACTTCAAGAAAAGTACTTGATCGCATGGAAAATTCAGTAAAAGTCCTTGTTTAATCACTTACGTTATGATACATTAACCGAAAAATTTCGTTATGCATTACAGGAGAGTACACGTTTGTAATTAGGGAATGCAATGTTTTCCTTCCTATACCATATATGAAAGTTTATTACTAAAAATGTGCATATTTTGTATATTACCCGCCCAGTCCACATTTTACCTACAAAATTTGTACCATTCGAAAATCAGGCATTAATGAATCAGAATATTCCTTAAAAACGCGCTAAAATTAAGGAGAGATCCTTGGTGATAATTGATTCTACATTAAATTCAATCTTTAAAAAGGAAAAGGAGATTTCATATATGCGATTTTTTCTCCAGAACTATAATTCAAATTCTGAAAGAAAAAAAAAACGAACAGATATTGAACTACTAACAGCTACAAAAACTACGAAAATATTCAACTACTAACAGCTTCTAAGATTTACCAATTAAATGGACAGAAAGTGCAGAGTTCAAAGGCAGATCATTGACAATAACTTAAAGAAGGGAGAAAAAAACAAAAATGAGAAGAAAAAAAATAATAGCAATAGGTCTTCTTAGTTTTATGATATTATCTACAAATTTACTACATATATCTACAATTTGACTATAATTTCTTTATTTGGTGCAGGAAAAAAATATTTTAATATACAGTGTCTCCAGATTGTAGATAAATTGTAGTTTACTTATAGTTTGTAGTTAATTTGTAGATAAATTGTAGATAAAATGTAGACATATTGTAGATACTATATTTTTAATATTGTAAAATTTTTTTCTTTGTGTTTGTTCTGAAAATGTAGGTGAGGGCTTCAACAGATCATATACATACTGTGTTGGATGGTATGAAACGGTACATTGTGTGTCTAGAAAACAAGAAATGTAGCTGTGGCCAACTCCAACTTGAAGAACTTCCATGTGTAAATTGTTTCCAGATTGTAGTTATAATGTAGGTTAAATGTAGTTAATTTGTAGTTTTTGTAAAATTTTGCAGACAATTTGTGGATGTCACATTTCTACAATTTGCTCTTCATCTACAAAATTTCTACAAAAAACTACAAATATTTACCTAGTTTTTTGGGTGATTATATTTTTTTCAAAGTTGAAGTGTTTGGCCAAGGTTTTAAAAAAAAAAATATTGTTGAGGAGAAGCAGAAGCAGTTTTGAAACAGAAAAAATAGCTTTCCGAAAAATAATTAGAAATAGTTTTTAAAAGGTTCCCAAATACTAATTGATGGTCAAAATGCTTTTCAAATAAATTAATTAAAAAAAATAATTATTTTTCACCTAAAGTACTTTTAATAAAAATACTTTAAAAAAAAATTGATTTCGATCGACATGAGAAAGTAATTAAAAATCAATAACAAAATAAGCCAAATGAAAGTGCAAAACAGAAAAGAAGAAGAAAATAGATCAACGAAATCTGAGTCTTTGACTTTTTTCAATCCCGTTTCATTCTCTCCTCTGTTTGTCATCTCAAAGATTCAACTCAACTTCTTCCCTAAAACAAAGAACGTGGAGGGGTATGGGGATGAGGGGTTAGGAGAGAGAAAGTGAAGATTAGTACTTAGTACTGTCAAATAATGGAAGTGCTTAATTTAAGGAGTATAAAATATCACATTAATTATAACCTTAATTAGATATGGTATATAAATGGTAATTTGGTATGCTAAATGTAATTAAGTGAAACCTTAAACATGTAGGGTAAAAAGGTTTCATAAGTGGGATAGGAATGTAAAAATTCCTTCTTTTTATAAGAATCGGAAATTTTTTCGAAAAAGGTTTCTTTTAAGATTTTTTTTTTTTTTTTTGGCGAAAAAAAATTGGCTAAAGAAAAATAAGATTTTTTGATTTGGATAATTTTTTCCTTTTAAAAGTTGTGTTCCCAAAATATTTTTGTGGAAAAAGAGTTTCTAAAAGTAGTCGTCATTCCCAATTTTTTAGAAAACTGTGCCAAACAAACATATCCTTGCAAAATTTTTAGCACGGACACACACCATTGTAGAATAGAGTACTTGAGAGAAATACATTAGAATTGCGTGTGCCATAGTTTTATTTGTCGCTACAAAATACACCGTACGTAGGTGTACTCGGAGTTACAATTTTAACTTTATAGGTCCTAAATTTATGGCAGTGATACCAAATGTTAGTAATTGAGTTTTGACTTTAATTTTTATAAATATTTATGAATTTTTTATATATACTACTCCCTCCGTTTCAATTTATGTAAACTCATTTGACTGAGCACGGAATTTAAGAAAAGAGAGAAGACTTTTGAACTTGTGGTTTAAAATGAAATACATATATTTTGTGTGGCTATAAATTATTGCATAAAGGTAAGTTATTTTCAAATAGGGAAAGAGGTCATTCTTTTTGGCACGGACTAAGAAGGAAATAGGTTCATATAAATTGAAAGAGAGGGAGTAACTAATAGTACAAGATTTGTACTAAAGCAACTGAATTCGACTGAACCTACTCACTCTGCCCGGATATATCACAATTAGAGCCAGGACTGGAAGTCTATAACTTGGTAAAACACATCCTATGATTCTGGTATTTGCAAATATTGTTGATTTAGCAATTAATATTTGCAGACATTTAACTACAATATGTCATTATTCGAAAATATTGAATAATTTTCAGCCACAAATCTTTCAACTGTTTTTTTATTTAACTTCAAATATTCTTGTTCTTTCAATTTCTACCAAGAATTATTTAGTTTATTTCTTTGCCATCTCCTTTTCCTATATATTCACTAATATGTTTACAATTCAATCTTTCTTCAACTACTAAACAAGATGGGAGAAAGCTTGTCCAGGTATAGGTGGCTTTCACATCTGTCAAAGAATCAACTTGTTAGCAAAAAAACACAAAACCATAATACAAAAAAATTGGTGGACTGATGACTAATTAAGTAGTAGCAATTTAAAAGCTACTTTCTCTTGTTCCGAAACATATTCCAATAACTCATATAAGCGATTAAAATAATTCATATTGTAAACCCTATTTAACATCTCAGACAAGCCATATGTAATTGACCATAATTATTTGACATAATGAAAATGCAAGAGGTAATAAGTAATTTCCTTTTCTTTATTTTATGCCAAAAGTCAAAAATTATGTTGCGTTGGCCTTATAGGAGTCTTTGAGCTGTTGAGCATTCAATTTTGTGGAGCTTTCTTTGATCATTAATTGTATTGAAGTTTTTGATCGTGTTGGAAAACAAACCATTTTCATGAAAGAAAAAAAGAAAAAAAAAAACTTAGTCATAACTGGACTAGTCCAAAAAAAAAAAAAAATATATCCTTACTCTTAACCTCTAATAATTGATTGTAGGTTAGTATCATCGAAACTCTGTTCCCACTAATTACTTTCCGAGAATTTACTCTGTGGAGAAACTGTGCGTCCTAGATATAGCAGGCACTTTTCCGCATTTGATTAGACAATGGTATAAAACACTTTTAACGAGGAGTTTAAGTTTTATGAGGTACTTTGACTTTTCACGCCCCTTAAGAAATAATAAATGAAGTGCATAGTTTACCATGATATTCATATTAATTGATACATATTTTATTGGATTTGAGAAAATGATTTGAAATGAGTAACAAATACTGCGGGTATAACGGGAATAAAAAATATTGTCTTCTCTTGATATGCGCAAAGTGACAAGTAAAAATGAAAATCTATTTCTAGTATACATGCCAAGTAAAAGTGAACGGAGGGAGTAATAAGCAATATTTGCATAAACAAATTATTTATAAGATAATTAATGGTAAACTCTATAATAAGCAGGAATAAATAATATGATAATTAAAATAATGTGCTATTACAGGTTAAACTATACTATATTAGCATGTTTGGCTAAGCTTTAGGAAGGGCCAAAAGTATTTTTCTTTTTTCAAAAAAAAAAAATTTAGAGAGTTGAGGTGTTTGGCCAAACTTTTAGAAAACAAATAAATGATTTTGAGTGGTAGTAAAAATAGCTTTTCCCACAAAAACACTTTTGGAATCTTAGGCTGAACAGAAATTGCTGCTCTAACATTAGCAAAGCTACTTTTCGAATTGTTACTCTTTCAAAAAAGTACTTATGATTAAAAAGATATTTTTCAAAATAAGCAGATTTTAAAAGTTAGCCAAACAGGTCAGTAGAATAACTTTCAAAGGCTTTAACATTTATTATAGAAATGAAAGCTTGCATATGTTAAAGCTACCAGATAAGATTTAATCAAACGCAAAAACGAAATATTTCTTGCATCAGTAAATGAACAAGTATGTGGGTAATCTTAACAGCTTTATGTAATTCTCCTCTCCTAAAAGCAAGAAATAAATAAATGGAAATGAGCTGAATAAGATCCAGCAATGAAGCAGCAGGCAGAGATGTAAGGGTTTGGTTTATGCTACCTCTAATATTGTCCTTTAAGGATGTTAAATGGAATCTCAAAGGGCAGTATTAAAATTTGAGAATGGAAAGGGTAAACAGAATTTTATAATACAAACAAATTAAATCTGTTGCCCAATAAGGGAACCACTATCAATTAAAATAATTATGTATTCATTATTTTATGATCCACCTCCCTCCTCCTCTAGTGTTTATAAACATGGTGATAATGCTTGCACTTATCTAAGAACTCAGAAAAATTAATTCTGATTATCATCAGTACCAGCAAATTAAACATACTAATTAAGATCAATTAGAAGATGACAGGCTCTGCAGGTTCCCCTTGTGGTGCTTGCAAGTTTTTGAGAAGAAAATGTGTTAAAGGTTGTGTTTTTGCCCCTTATTTTTGCTATGAACAAGGTGCTACTCATTTTTCAGCCATCCATAAGGTTTTTGGGGCAAGTAATGTATCAAAACTTCTTGCTCATATACCCGTTACTGATCGTGGCGAAGCGGCTGTTACAATCGCTTATGAAGCTCAAGCTAGACTTCAAGATCCAATATATGGATGTGTTTCACATATTTTTGCTCTTCAACAGCAGGTTTGTAAGCTTCAAAATTGTTAATTGAACCTTTATTAATGCTAGTTAATTAGTCCTGGAATTTATGAGTTTTTTGTTTGATTTCACAGGTTGTCAATTTACAAGCACAACTTGCTTCTCTAAAGGAACAAGCAGCTCATCAAAACTTGCAAAATGGTTCCAACTATGCAAACCCTAATTATGAAAAATTTCAAGATCTTCAAAGTTGGTTTCATCAGTCTGAAAATTCCAACACCAATATGTCCCAATTTGATTCTAGCTTGACCAGTAACAATATTGGATCAACCCCATATTATGGAAGTCATGAAAACATGACATCAAATAATTACCATATGGGGAGTTATGAGAATATGATGCTTACAAAGGAAAATATGTCAAGTTTTGAAGAGGGTTCTTGTTCAATAGATTCTTATGACATGCAAACAGATCATCACAACAGCCAATGGACATTTCAAGATGATGCAGATGACCTTCAGTCAGTGGCTTTCAGATATCTTCAACATTCTTGATCAGTACTTGGGGCTTCAAAAACAAATCATGGGTGAAGATTAATTACTCTGTCAATTTTTGTATTGCTAAAAGCAGACTTTATGACATGAATTATCTGCTAGCTTTCATAAATGAGCTAGAAACCCTAGAATGTTCAAAACCATCATAAGCCTATGGTTCTGCCTACAATTGTTTTTCCTTAGGTCATGTGTAACCTTGAATATAATTAGAATATTATTAGTAGTATATTTTAATAAATCTGCCCTTTTGTTTTGAGTCCTTTGGCTTTTCAGAGGACCTAGCCAGGTTTTAGACCTAGTAGACCTTATCAGTGCTTATAGAAACCTAATTATTACTGTGTACTTTCCCTTTTTTGAAGCTTAGAACATCAGTTCACAATACCACTTGGGTGCTTCTTTGAGGTTTTTAGCTGTAAATGATCACTTGCTATTCTAACTTTTCTTGATATTCTTGGGTGATATTGATTATTCTTAGGTGTTAAACTATTAATCTTGGAGTTTCTTCTTTTGACTGAAAAGACTGAAGGAGTTTAATTTTATATACTTCCAAAAAGACTTCAAAACCTTTGGCTGTTACATGACAGTGCACACAGAAAATCATGAGTTCTACTAATCATATGTATAAAGGATCATTTTCGGAGAACAAGAACATATATATTGATAGCAAAACTGCATGTCTTAACATCTACATAACCAAAATGTTTATGAATCACAGTGGAAAGAGGATACTAATTATAGGAGTACAAGCATATATAGATTATGTTATTAGTTTCTCAAGAGAAATGAGTAAAAAAAAGTACTTATATCCCCTGCAATGCCAATCCCTAGGAAATTAATTAAGTGTTCTAAGCCTAACATTATAGCTTTAAAAAGTCTTTTCATACTTAGCTTGACAGATTCTTAAATGATTGAAAAGGGTCTTGTAATTAATGTTTAACTTAAGATAGAACTTTGTTAGGTGTGAGTACTCCATGATCATATATTAAAAGAGAATTAACTTCTGACAATGAGAACTGAGAGGCAAGTTTCAAATATACTACTGACTGTCAGTCAACAATAGACTGTATATGTCAGGTTATGCTTCTTAGAAACCTGCAAGCCGCAAAAGGAGAATCTTAGCTTGCACAAAAGATGAGGACTAGCAATATTTTGTTAAGTCTAAACAATGTGTGTATCTCTATTTCTAAAAATGAGGTAGACTTACTTATGCATGGGGTGCTAATATATTCAAAAAAGTGGTTATTACATAGATGAATCCAAGATTTATGGTCATTAGGTTTCTAAATATGTGTGTGTATATATAGACACACGCCTTATTTAATTAGTTTTGCATGTTCGCATTGAAAAAAGAGAGTTCAATTGAATTCACAAAACTCTCTACATTCACCTCTCAATGTTGAAGCTTGCAGTTGTCTCCTGTTCCAACACTTTTGCCATTGTTATGTGGTGTGTGTGTGGTGGGGGGGGTGGGGGTGGGGTGGGGGGGCGTAGCTCGACCTCTATCCACATACTGAAATTTGGAAAAAGTAATATATACATGAATGAGGGGGACATGATGAGGCCTATTAGGCCTCCTCATATTTTGTGAATGGGTTTTTGTTATTTACATGTATGATATTAAAGTAAGACAGGATGTATTTTGTGTATCTGACATTAGAATCTGAAGGTAGGGCATTGCAATTCTTTATTCTAAGTAAGCTTCAAATATGAAGAGGAAGCTTATTAAAATTAGCAAAAGTAGAGGATATGTTGCAGATCTTATACATATATAGCCAGAAAGTCTGCTAACTTTGTATGCTTTTTTTAAGACATTAATGTTGTAACCATGTCCTGGTCTCTTATCCAATTCATAATATTGCTTTAAGCAAAGTGGTAAGCTCTAAATTAGAGTCACGTGATTGGGTTTGAAGCATATAAATTTCATTTTCTTCATGTATGCAATTGATCTTGAGAAACCATGTAATTTACCAAACCAGATGAAAATCAGGTAAAGTATGTTGAATGGAGAGTTTGTTTATGAGGTGCCAGTAGTTGGGTAAGAAGTTTTGGATCCTTAGTTACTATTTGTACTTTAGTTAAAACGTATGGTTAACCTACTTATTATCATGCTAGAAGGGATTAACCCAATTTCTCTTGGAGAAATTCTTATTCTAGCCTATTCAATGCCTTAGTTTTTTTCTCCAGAGGGTTGAAACAAGTTACTCAAGTTAATTACAGTCAAAATGCAAAGTTATCCTGCTCAAGATTTCATTTCTAACCCCAATTTTTCTTGGAGAAACCTATCTTTTAGGGTTTTATGGATGACCTAATTCTATTGAGCTAAAGTTGATAGCATATATATGTGGGCCACTGTATCAGCCTCTTGAAGTTTGTCTTCAAGAAATAACAACACATTGTATTCTTCTCTCTTCCATGCTTTACTTGTACATGATAACTATAGTTGCATCAAGCAATGGGTTAGGATTTTTCATCAAAATAGTTCAATATATATATATATATATATATATATATATATATATATATATATATATATATATATATATTGTATGTACATTATAATTTTTCGGGGTAGGGGATTCAGATGAACCCCTTCTATCCCCTCTAATTCTCCCATGCTTATAACTTTCATCTTTAAGCGGCCTATACCGATTGCAAGTTACAACACTCCTTAAAAGTAAATATACTAGAGGGGTGATAACATAAAAGGAAAAGTATATATATACAATGGTACTTACCTACTGAATTAAAATCTTTAACCCATTTACAAATGAAATAGGAAAAAAAAAATTATCAACCGCCGAAGTTTATCCGTGCTTGCATCCGTTGAATTATAATCTTAAATCCATATATAAATAAATGAAGGATTAAGTAGAAGCAAACAACTAAAACCTTGCTCTCATTCTGCACATCTAACTTTTCTTGATCTTCTTCCAAAAATAAGTTATCAATAAATTAAAGACGTTCGATTTATTGAATATGTCCTCAGTTACTAGTCCTAGTCCTAGAGAGAGTTGGTGGTTTGGTGTCCTAGAGTAGAGACAGTGTGTTCGAAAAGTGATTCCACTTTTTTGGATCTATAACCAATTTGGCCCAAACAAAACTATTTGTATCACCCCTATTAATTAGTGAAGCTAAGGGCAGCCCATTTGGATAGAAAGAGTTATAGGCTTAATTGGGTCAGACGTACGTAGAGTAGGTTCCTAAACATGAAACTACAGCTACTACTTCTATTACTTTTCTAAGTCTTTTGATTTCTTTTTTATGATAGTAAAATCTAAATCCTCCATTCAAGATACGAGATTCATGTTATACTCTACTCTTACAACTTTACTCTTACTTATAATTAAAGTGACTTTTGAGTAATGAATACAAAGCTAAATGATCGCCTAATGAAATTTACTCCCACTTTGGGCATAAGCATTTGAAAATAATACTAGCTGTTATGAAAGGATGGCCAAGTTTTAAATATGAGGGTCAAACATCTAACTTTAACGTTAATTTGAATCTAGCTATACGAAAGTTACTTTAAAACTCAATTTCTGTAGAGTTAGGCCTTCAGTTTTATATGGCCTACTCCAATTCATTGATTAAATAAGATTTGCAGCTTTATTTTCTTTCCTTTTTTGACGAGAATAGCCGCAGTTCTCTAGAAAAAAGTAAAATCCAAACAAACCATCGAGCTCCAGGCTAGTTTTCCATTTCCTTCATTTTTAAATAGATAAATGATTTATGTTGTGAAATTGATAATTCATTCATTGATTACATCTTAGAATCAACTGGTTCAACAACTAAAGTTGTTTCTGGTTAAGAGAAAACAAGCAAAAATATCTGTCTTTAGTGTTGGGATCATGAAATATATCAAAATTGAAATTGCTAACTTTTCAAGCTAATAGTTTAATCGTGCAAAACAAAATTCTACCTTCTCCAAACCAAAAGTGTCTGAAAAAAAGCCAAGGCAACGCTCTGTCCAGCTTTTATTAACACACACACACACATATATATATATATATTGGAAAAATCACTAAGATTTTCAAAATTATTAGATTTGAATTCAGTATAACTAGCTTTCTTCTGCTCCATAGTCACTATTCTTTCAAATAGAAGGAGTGATATATTGACCAAAAAGCCAAAAGGGATATGAGTCCTAATATTTACTTTGATCTTTCGAGGAGCGAGAACGCAAGACTAACAGCTACAATCTTTTTCTCATCCAAGCTCTTTAATATTAATTTAAATTTATAAAGAAATTTGTCTTAGCTTGACTACACTTTCATGAAGTACTGCATTTCTTTATTTCTTTGTTGGTCTTCTTTTTCTTGGTCATTGTACTTAAAACTTTTGGAAAGAACTTTTTCTTCTTCATGAACTTGAAATATCATCAACTAAAGCCCCCACTCAAACATGTACTTAATTGACTAATACTATATATCATGAAGGAATAATTACTTTTTCTAAATGCAATTAATGGAGTCTACTGTGAAAACGAACACATAAGTAGTCATGTCATGATCAACAAAATTAACAACTTTATTTTTAGGGAACCCTTTTATCTTCTTTTAATTTTTTAACGCCGAAACAAAGTTTGAAAGTTGTTACGTGCAGCTTGACTAAATTGGCTCTATTATTTTCTATATACTTTTGGTCATGGGCTCGAAGTATACCTGATATGATGGATTTTGATTAATTAAAAACTCTTTGATTGTTCTTTCTGTTTTGTCTTGGAAAAGTTGGTCATCACTAGATCCATCACACTCCTTCAATGATCATATATCATAGTTTTTCCTTTTCTTTAATTATCTTTTTCTTTATTCATACATGGTAGACATCACTTTCGATATAAATTGAAAGAACTCTGAACCTTATTTTGTCCACTTACTAACATGTTAAAGAAAAACCTTCACATAATCCAAAAATATTTTGTAGAAAAAGCACAATGCGATGTTTCAACTAAAGGAGTTAAATTATAGAGAATTTGGTTTGATTTAAATTGTTCGAAACATAACTTGGTGATGATGCAGACTTGTTGCAGTCAATCAAGGGGACCAGTTGTCTAAATATTCGAATACAATGACATATGATCACGGGTATTAATATTAGAATAGTACTTAACGTTAGGTAAACCTACTTAACTATAACATAAATTCCAGGCAAGTGGGACCTTTAATTTTGTACATACTTTAACTTCCAACCGTGTGGCCTTTCAGAATAATGATATCTTTCAGTCTTCTAGTACTAGTTCTTTTCCTATCACTCAAA